AAAAAAAAAAAAAAAAAAAAAAAAAAAAAAAAAAAAAAAAAAAAAAAAAAAAAAAAAAAAAGAGTCGTCTATTACCTCAATTTTTAACTGAGTTAAAATTTAACGTTAAAGTTGATATTTAGTGAGAGGTGAAATTTAATTTACACCCTCCATTGAAGTTTTCTTTTATTTATTTATTTTTAAATCTAGAACTATTCATATAACTATTAATTTTTCTTGATTGTGTTGGGATATATTTTTTTTAAGTTTAATTAGGAATTTTATGGCTGAACTTATGAACATTTTAATTGATTTGATTTTATAGTTATGTGGCATATTTTTGTGGTTAGATTTTAGTATATATTGAAATTCAATCCTCTCGTCTTTAGGTGTATGTTATGTTATGATTGACACGATTTCATGATTTATTGTTTAAAAAATTATTAAATTTCACTATTTATTTGACGATGTCAAAGTCGTGTGATTGGAAATATCTGCCATGTTCGAAAAAAAAATTGTCTTCACATTCAACTTTATTAAATTCACAAGTAAACATCTGAGTTTATTAATTATAAGACTGAAAGAATTAATTTTTAAAAATTTTAAAGTTTTCACAAATTTATTAATTATAAAATTGAAATTTCAGGATTTTTTCGAACATAAAATTTAATTTTGTACAATCAAAATTAAATTTAAAGTTTTTTTTTAATTAAAATATTAGATAAAAAATCTACGTTGTTGAACGTGGTTCGTTCTAGAATTTCTATTATAAATGTATTTTAAAATGTTAATAATTTGAATTAAAATAAAATTAGCGTTTTTTAAAATGAACCTTTATTGATACGACCGCAGATAAAGTAGAAAAGAAATGAGAAATATAAAAATGTTTTTTTAAGCAAATGACGAAACTACCCCTCAATTTCGGAATAAAACTTTTTTTTTTTTTCACGACGGAAAGACTTAGATGATCTGCGAAGTCTTCGTCCTCATGGTCTGACGAAGAGCAGAGACTAACTTGAAGAAGAACAAATGGCGGATTCTCGATCGTCGGACGGCGAAAAGGAGAGGCGGCGTTCTGTCAACTGTAGCAGAGGGAAGAACGAGGCGATGAAAGTCATATTCACTGATCCTCAAATTCTCGATTGCTATATTTGTTGCGAGCCCTTGTCCGTTCCTGTTTACCAGGTCCGATTAAGCTTTTTGATCGCGTGTATTTTGCTTGCAATTATCGTTATTATTTATCTGTTTGTCTCTGATGCTTTGTTCTTCTCGTCCTTTTTTTTTTTTTTTTTTTGTTGCAATTTTGACTACTGTAGTTCACTTAGTGTTTTTGCTGGAATTGACGATTTTGGAATCCTCCTTTCTATGAGGTTTTGATTTTTTTTTGTGTAAATCCACAGAAGTTATGGATTATGATAACAATTGAAGAAATATAGCGAAGTTTTAAATGGTTATTCATTGCGAACCTATCCAATGGTACGATGTTGTCTACTTTAAACATAAGCTCTCGTACTTTGTTTTTGGTTTTCCAAAAGGCCTCGTACCAACAGAAATAGTGTTACTTACCTGTAAAATCATGATTTTCCTCTTAATTAGCTAATCTAGACTACTCCTTTCAATAATCCTCGACAATCCTCCCATCGAACAAAGGACACCATAGAGTCTCCTCTGAGGCCTATAGAGCCATCGAACAACCTCTCTTTAATTGAGGCTGGACTCCTTTCTTTGGAGCCTCTAAACAAAATACACCTTTTGTTCGACACTTGAGTCACTTTTGACTACACTTTCGAAACTCACTTCTTTGTTCGACACTTGAGGATTCTATTGACATAGCTAAGTTAAGGGCATAACTCTTATATAATGTTAGGAATCACGAACCTCCACAATGATATGATTTTGTCCACTCTGAGCATAAGCTCTCTTGACTTTGCTTTTGGTTTCTCCAAAAAGCCTCGTGGAAAATCATGAAAATTTACTTATAACCTCATGATCTTACTTTTAATTAGCATAACGTGAGACTTTCAATCATCTTGAAAACAGTTATCAAAACATGTTTTGATTCAAATAATCTTTGAACATGGAGATTATTCTGGATATTACGGGGACAGAGTTGTTAAATGGATGGGATTGAAATGAAATCTCGACCTGGATTGCTTATCTTGTTACATTGTCTCGAGAAAATGTCAGAATCAAGTCGTGCTTGATATTCTTTTCACCTTTTATGCCTGACTTGGGGTTCAATCGTGTGGATTGTGGGATTTTCTTCATTGTTTACAAACATGAATTTGAAAGGGATGAACCTAGAAGAAAATAAGCTGATATTGGTGTATATAGTATATCTCATTTTGTTTTCTATGAGTCTTTTATTTCATAACATATACTCTGGTGTTGAGATGTTGGTTGTTGGATGAATTAGTGTGAGAACGGGCATATTTCTTGCTCTAGCTGCTGCTCCAAAGTTCACAATAAATGCCCAAGCTGCAGCTTGGCCATCGGCTACATACGTTGCAGAGCGATCGAGAAGGTTCTTGAATCAATCAAGATACCATGCCAAAACTCAACATATGGATGCAAAATCACAATGAATTTGAACCAGATAAACGAGCACGAGACATCGTGCCCATATGAGCCCTGTTCGTGCCCTATATCTGATTGCTCTTATGTTGATTCGGCAGAGCATTTGGGGTCACACTTCAGAAAAAGGCACCCAGACTCAGCCAAAAGCTTCTTATACAATTCAAGGTTCACAATATGCTTGAACAGTGGTGATAGATATCGTATCTTTCAAGCAGAGAACGATGATGCTGTGTTTGTCCTGTCTTACTCGTTTGAAATCTTTGGCAATGCGGTTACTTTGAGCCGGATTGGATCTCCGTTGTGTGAGAAGAAGTTTTGTTATGATATCAAAGCCAAATCACAGGGGAGTGTTCTTTCTTTGCAATCAGTGGCGAATGAGATCCGACGTTGGATTGAAGATCCTCCTTTCAAGGGATCGCTTCTGATTCCAAATGAGTTCTTCGGATCTTCTTCAGCCCAGACGATCTTGGAGATTCGCATTTGGCCTTCACGCTGAAGATAAACACTGGGGATCAACACAGGTGCACATACATTTTTTTTGAAACAAAGCTGAATTATTGTTTAAACTGAGTTAATCTTTGCATCTGTGTTTTCTTTGTTTTTTTGGGATGGACTTTGGTGCATACTTTTGTGCATATATATCTATATGGGTTTGTTGAACTTTTAATTTTGTATGGAATAGAACTAAGCTTGTGAATGTTTGTGAATTAAAAAAAAAAAAAAATGTTGAGTGAGTCTATGGCCGATATCGCTCAGTTGGTAGAACAGATGACTCAAAATCTTCTACTCTTCTACTCACAACTTTCATGACATGACGTATTAGAAACAAAATTGAAAACTTAGAGACTTATACAGAGAAAGTAAAATATTTATAGACTATTTATAGACTTTTTAAATGTAAGAATTAATTGGAAACAAAATTGAAATTATAACAAGGTGGAAGCTAAATTTATAGTTACCTATTTTTCATTTTTTTTTAATAAATATTTTCATCCTTTTTGGTTTATTTTTAAATGTTATAAAAAAAAGTTTTATTTTTTATTGAAAAAGTTGGAAACATTTTTAAAAAATGTTGAACGTTTGATTTTTTTTTTTTTAAATGGATAGATTTACTAAACAAAAATGTGAACATTTTAGCATAAAATTCAAATTTATATTAAGTCAGTTAATTTTTTAAAAAATTTAATATTCCAAAAATTTAAAATTTTAGAGTTTTCATAATATTTAAATCTATATACAATAAATCAAATTCAAACTTCAAAATTTTTTATGTTTTATAAATATTTTAAAATTAAACTTAAAATAAAAAGAGTTATTTAAATATTAGACAAAAAGCCCTTTTGGTTTATTTTTAATTGTTATTAAAAAAAAAAAACAAGTTTTATGTTTGATTGAAAAAGGTAGAAATATTTTTAAAAAATGTCAAATCTTTAATTTTTTTTAAATTCATATATTTAGAAAATGGCATAAATTCAAATTTATATTCAATAAATCAAATTTTAAATATTTCAAAAATTTTAAATTTTAGAGTTTGTTTGAAACATAAAATTTAAATCTGTGTTGAATATATGCTAAAACCACCGCAGCACTTAGATGGTGTGTAAAAGTTCTTTATTTATAATCAAATAAATTACAAGGATAGTAGCAACTATACCATGTGTGAAAATTCTTTCTTTATAATCAAATAAATTACAAGAATAAGTAAATAGTAACTAATAAAAAGAAAAATATATGAAAAGATATATTTGAAATATGATATATATGTTATAATAAAAAAATATGATATATATAGCAAATAATAATTTAGTATTAAATATTTTAACAAATATACAAGGCAAACTCAAACTTCCCACTCTATTTTATGTTTTATAAATATTTTAAAATTAAGCTTAAAATTATAAAAATAAAAATTCTTTAAATATGAGACAAAAAGTTGACGCCGCGGAACGTGATTCATTGCACGTGTACTAAAGAACAAAAATTTGTGAGGAAGTTAATGTTTAGCTTATTTATTTTTAATGAACCAATTTTTCTGCGTAGAAAAGAAACGAGAAACAAAATAAAAAATGAGTTTTTTAAGAGACCAAATGACGAAATTACCCCTTACTTTCGGTATAAAACTGATTTTTTTCTAAACAAAGACGTCAACCATCCGAATAGTTTACGCTCTCAGTCTGAAGAAGAGAAGAGGCTGACTTGAAGAAGAAGAAGAAGAAATAAAAAATGGCGGGTTCTCGATCATCGGACGGCGAAAAGGAGAGGCGAAGTTCGGCCAACTCTAGCAGACGGAAGAACGAGACGATGAAAGTCATACTTACCGATCCTCAAGTTCTCGATTGCTATATTTGTTGCGAGCCCTTGTCCGTTCCTGTTTACCAGGTTCGATTAAGCTTTTTTTTCCGCTTGCATTTTGCTTACGATTACTGTTCTTGTTAATCTGCTTGTCTATGATGCTTTGTTCTTCTCGTCCATTTTTTTTTCTTGCAATTTTGACTTCTGTAGTTCACTTAGTGTGTTTGCTGGATTTGACGGTTTCCAAATCCCCCTTACTATGAGATTTTAACCTTCTCGTTTAGAATTTTATTGTGTAGACTGTGGATTTCCAGTGGAAGTTATGGATTATGATAAAAATTGAAGAAATATGGCGAAGTTTTGAACAGTTATTGGCAAAGATCGTGGAGGTATGGATTGTAGAACTGAAGTTATCAAATGTTTTGATGCAAATAATCTTTGAACATGAAAATTATTCTGGATATTATGGGGACATAATCACAAATGGTTGGGATTGAAATGAAACTTTGTTGAGGATTGTTCGAGTCTACCATTGGCTATGAGGAAGACTATGAGTATATAAGCAACGGATACTATCTTCATTGGTATGAGGCCTTTTGGAGAAACCAAAAGTAAAGCCATGAGAGCTTATCACATCATTGTGGCCCACATGTTTCAATAAAGTAGTATCATAGTCTTACTCTTATCTTAACTTAGTAGTGTCAATAAATCCTCAGGTGTTGAATAAAAAAAAGTTGTGTTTCTAGAAGGTGTGACTTAGATGTCGAACAAAAAAGAAAAAGTGAGCCTCGAAACTGTAGTCATAGAGAAGATCCATGGTAGAGCTCTATTGAACTATCAATGTGCTCTAAAGAAGAGGAGTCGTCTAAAATAGTGCTAAGATAGATAGATGACTATTAAGAAGAGACACAATAATGTACTTTGTTGAAGGGAAGATTGTTGAGGATTGTTGGAGTCTCATATTGGCTAATTAAGATGGAAGACCGTGGGTATATAAATAAGGGACACTATTTTCTTTGGTATGAAGCATTTAGGGAAACCAAAGACAAAGCCATGAGAGCTTATACTCAAAGTGTACAATATCATTCTAATACGAAGGTCCCTTGTTCCTATCAATCTTGCCCTGAATTGCTTTTCTTGTTACATTATCTCGAGCAAATGCCAGAAATCAAGCCGTGCTTATTTGATATTCTTTTCACCTTGAACTTGAAAGGGATGAATATAGAAGAAAATAAGCATATATTGGTGTATATAATCTCTTTTCTTGTCATCTTTGAGTCTATTTTATGTCATAGCATATACTTTGGTGTTGAGATGTTGATTGTTGGATGAATTAGTGTGAGAATGGGCATATTTCTTGCTCTAGCTGCTGCTCCAAAGTTCAGAATAAATGCCCTAGCTGCAGCTTGGCAATTGGCTACATGCGTTGCAGAGCGATCGAGAAGGTTCTTGAATCAATTAAGATGCCCTGCCAAAACTCAAGATACGGATGCAAAACTACAACGAATTTGAACCAAATAAATGAGCATGAGACATTGTGCCCATATCAACCCTGTTCGTGCCCTTTATCTGATTGCTCTTATGTTGATTCGGCAGAGTATTTGAGCTCACACTTCAGAAAAAGGCACCAAGACTCCGCCAAAAGCATCTCATACAATTCAAGGTTCACAATATGCTTGAACAGTGATGATAAATATTGTATCTTTCAAGCAGAGAACGATGGTGTTTTGTTTGTCCTCTCTTACTCGTTCGAAACTTTTGGTGATGCGGTTACTTTGAATCGGATTGGACCTCGGTCGTCTGAGAAAAAGTTTTGTTATGATATTAAAGCCAAATCACAGGGGAGTGTTCTTTCTTTGCTATCAGTGGCGAAGGAGATCCAACGTTGGACTGAAGATCCTCCTTCCAAGGGATCGCTTTTGATTCCAAATGAGTTCTTCGGATCTTCTTCAGCCCAGACGATCTTGGAGATTCGCATTTGGCCTTCACGCTGAAGACCAACACTGAGGATCATCACAGGTGCACATTCATTTTAAAACAAAGCTGAATTATTGTTTAAACTGTCTTAAACGTTGTTGGCTGGCTCTGATCTTTGTCACCTAAACTGTTCATCTGGGGGGGAAGGACTTGGTGCATGCTTTTGTGCATATCATCATCTTTTGTCATGCATATCCAGTAATAAAACGCATCTTTTGTGTATGATAGATGGATAGCATATTCAACATTGTCCAAAATTAAAGAATTTATTAGACTTACAATTGAATTTTGTATGGAATAGAACACTAAACTTGCATAGGTTTGAGAATTTTTAAAAAAAATGTGGAATGGGTCAATGGCATATTTGAGGAGGCTCGTTGGACAACCTAGAATATTTATGAACTTATTATGAATTTTTTAGAGTTTAAGTATCTATTAGGCACATTTTTAGGCACATTTAAAGTCAGAGAACTTGTTAGATAGCTTTTATTTCTTTTATATAACACAAATGTGAAAGTTTAGAGACTAAATTTGTAATTTAAATTTTATATTATTATCTCTTCTCTTTCTATAAATCATACAATATAACCCTTTATTTCTAGAAATAAAAGCTCGTAAGAGTAACGAGCTATGTTTTGAAACAAAATCATCTTCTAATGCATCATTTTTTAGTCAAATGTGTTGCACATGAATTGATCGAGGACCTCTAGACTATGAATATTTTGAATGATTGATCGTGAAGCATTGGAAGAGGTTGTACTCATTGATTTGAAAATTTTAACTTGAAATGGAGATTTCGGGCTTGTTTGATAAGTAATTTAGAAATATGTAAACTTCTTAGAAACGTGAATTCAAACTTTTAACCTTTTAGTCGATAGTACATAACAAGTATTACTAAACTATACTTATTTTGACTTGTTATATACACGTCCAAATTGAGTAGCATAGACGTAGCATAAATAGACAAAAGTTGGATAATTTTTTTTAAAAAAATCATAAATAAATTTTGCAACCAAATATTCGCTAAATCAATCAAATATTATAATTGATACAATTATTAATTGATGTCTTAAGCGATATAGAATGAGGTATGTATTCAATGTTCATTTAGTCAGTAAAATTTAAAAATCACCTAACACGACTTTAAACTTTCAATTTTATGTTCGGTGAGTTCTTTAACCTTAAAAATTATGTTAGAGGTTTTCAAATAATTATTTATAGAAAGAAAATTATTATTATGAAAAAAAATAACTAAATTAAATTTTTTGCGAAAAGATTATAAATTTCAAAGAACATTGAAAATGTTCACAAAATTGAAGTAAATAAATCTAGTTAACCTAAAATTGAATATTTAAGGATTTAATAATTGAAATTAAAAAATAGATATTTTTTAGAATTTAAAGAAATACGAAATTTATAATTTGATAAAAAAAAAAAAAAAAGTGAGCTTTGGAAAATCAATCAAAGCGGGATTTCCCATCTGTGAGTTTCTGAGTCACCTTCTCCATGGCTGGTTGAAAGTGGATAAACAGTGAAGAGCCAAGACGAAGCTGAAGCCCCAATCCGCCATTGAAGGACCAACATCAATGGCTTCTTCGCTCTTTTTTCGTCGCTTTTGCTGTTTACATTCTGCAACTTTTCCTTCCTCCTCCTCCTCCTCCTCTTCCGTTTTCTCCAAGAAGAAGCCCCTCGTTTTCCTCGGTTCTCCTCAGGTTTTCTCTTCTCTCTGCAGCTCTTTCTATTCTCCTTTCCTTGTTTAATCGGAAGAAATACCTTTTTCCTAGGTCTCGACTACAGTTCTTGATGCTCTTTTTAACGCCTCTTTCGCCGCCGATGCAGCTTTTGAGGTATCCATTACCATTTTTCAGCCGTTGGCTCTTCAATTCAGTCTTGTATCTGGTCGATACGAATCTCTGAAATGTAATTTTGATATAACTAATGTTAATCCATTTAGGTTGCAGCTATTGTTACTCAGCCACCGTCTAGAAGAGATAGGGGGAGAAAGATGATGCCTTCTCCAGTTGCGCAATATGCTCTTGATAAAGGCTTCTCTTCTGACCTTATTCTTACACCTGAAAAAGCTGGAGAGGTAATGTTACTTTTTATTTGAAGTGAAGTTGTTGTAGATCATGTTAAGGAAGAAGTGTCATTTAAGTTATTGGTTCTGCTTGCCATGATGATAGAAACATCTGAATTTTGAAAATGTGGAAAGTTCTAAAATATTAGCATGGTGTGAGAGTGTATAAGTTTACAACGCTGGGCATCAAGTTTAGCTCTTACTTTGAAGAATGACCTTGTATGTTTATTTTGTAAAAGCATGATAAATTTGTTGTATTTATGAAGTCTAAAAGATATGGTGGATGATATCCATTCGACATTGGTTACTGCTAGTATATATTTTTTTTATTGGTTTCAGAGAGATTTACCTAGAACTTTTTGATCAACTGTGAGATCCCACATTGGTTGAGGAAGAGGACGAAACATTCTTTATAAGAGTGTGGAAACCTCTCCCTAGCAGACGCGTTTTAAAAACCTTGAGAGGAAGCTCGAAAGGAAAAGTCCAAAGAGGACAATATCTGCTAGCGGTGAACATGGACTATTACAAATGGTATTAGAGCTAGACACCGAGCGATATGCCATCGAGTAGGCTGAGCCCCGAAAGGGGTGGACACGAGGTGGTGTGCCAACAAGGACGCTGGACCCTGGACATGAGGCGGTGTGCTAGCAAGGCGTCGGGCCCTGGACATGAGGCGGTGTGCTAGCAAGGACGCTGGGTCTCAAAGGGGGAGGATTTGAGGGTCCCACATTGAATGGAGAAGGGAACGAGTGCCAGCTAGCAGACAAGTTTTAAAAACCTTGAGGGGAAGCCCGAAAGGGAAAGCCCAAAGAAGATAATATCGGCTAGCGGTGGGCTTGGGCCGTTACATCAACCTTGTCTCATTTATTTCTTTGCACATGCACACACAATAATACTCTCAAGGATATCCCAGTTCTATTTTTCATAAGACCTATTTTTTTGACATATTCTCACTTCTGCCTATGATCAATGGTGACAGTTTTTAGACTTACTTACAGTAATACGATATTTGAAACTTTTGAACCTTGAGTAACACTCTTGTTAACGGAAAAGTTTTGTAAGCCATGTAGATTGCTCTTTTTCTTCTTATTTTCTTGCAGGACAAATTTTTGAGCACCTTAAAGGCTTTGCAACCAGAACTATGTATTACAGCAGCATATGGGAATATCTTACCAACCAAATTTCTCAATATTCCAGCATTAGGTAAACCATTTATTTCTTGTTGGTATCCAAATTAAAAGACTGTGTCATTGGAAAAGAAGAGATTAGAAGAATCTTTCATGAGATGGAAAGAGAACCTGATCAAATTTGGGAGTTGATTGTTTTTCTTCTTCCTCTCGGAGTTGTTTAAATAGTCGTTTTTGTAATTATGATCCCTCAGGGACTGTCAATATTCACCCAAGCCTCTTGCCATTATATCGTGGTGCTGCTCCTGTTCAGAGAGCATTGCAGGTTGCTTATGCTTACAAGTTGATATTTGGTACATTGAATTCTATTTAACAATGTCTTCAAGTAGTTCTAACTTGTAAGGTTTTCCCCTCTACTTTTAGGATGGTGTTAAGGAGACTGGTGTATCACTAGCATTCACAGTTCGTGCATTGGATGCCGGACCCGTCATTGCTTTCGAAAAATTTGAAGTTGATGAGCAGATTAAGGTATGCTTGTCATGAGTTTACAGGCTAAGCAACGTGACATGCATTTATGTTTTGATTTTTGATTCCTATAAAGCATAAATGGTTGAAATCTGAAAATCCATCACATGGTTCGTTTATAAATTTGTTTTCCATTTTCTTGCCGATCCTTTCGAGTAGAGACGTTTTTATGAAGTCGGCTATTTGTCTCATATCTTGTCTTACACAGTTAAACTTCTTTTACATTTAACTTTTTGAAGATGGACCATTTCTTTTCTAATCTTTGATTCAATTTGCTAGCAGGCACCCGATTTACTTGCTTTGCTATTTTTAGAAGGTGGGCATTCAGCGTCTGTCATGAACTTCACTTGAAATTGTGGTGCTGTCTCCTAGTCTGTTTCTTTTCTTCTTTACCATATTGGTACTTAGTTTCATTGCAAAGAGTGGTGTTGATTTCAAATACTCTTACATTTGATTATATAAATAAAAATCACAACACCAAAAGTTCATCTTTTGAGTTGTTGATCTAAATACACACGTACTTTTTGTTACGGTTATAATACGTGAACATTCAAAATCCACTTTCATGTGCAGGCTCAAAACTTTTGATTCGGGAACTTCCTTCTATACTTGATGGATCTGCTGAAAAGAAGGCACAACCTCAAGACGAATCTAAAGCTACCAACGCTCCAAAGGTATCCTTGGTTGAGATCTTCTAGGATAAATTTATAATCATATAGAAATGAAGTGAATTTTGGTTAATATATGCTTAGTCCGTTACTCATTTGATCATTCAATATATTAGTAACAAAAATTTCGTATTCTTTCTTTTATGATTAGTTAAAAATGATTTAGATCAACCATAAAGCAAAACAAAAACTAGAAATCCCTGAGCTATTAGGATCAATTTTTTAATTTTATTTAAAATAACAATCACAATATCAACAATCTTGTATATCAAGAAAACCTTCTGATAATGCAGTGGATTCAAGTCTCTGAGATTCTGGTTTTAAGTTTTTAGGTTGAGCCTTCTCCTAACGTTGTTCTTAGGGTAGGTGAAGCCTCTCTGAAGATTAGTGGACCTAGTGGCACCATCAAAACCTTGGCTATTAAAAGAAAGTATATATCTTAAGTTAAATTATCTAAGTTCTCTGGAATCTGACTCTTATTATGCAGATAGCTCCTGATGAGGCATGGTTGTCATTTGATCAAGAGGCATATGTTCTACACAACAAGGTAATTTTACCCTTTTCTTTGTTCAACCTTGCAGTTAAATCATGCACTCCCTCTAGGTTCGCGCATTTGCAGGATGGCCTGGAACACGAGCGAAGGTTGTCGTTGCTGATGATAAAAGCGGTTGCCACAATATCCTAGAATTTAAAATCATTACTACAAGGGTTGGCATCAATTATAGTAGTCAGGAGACTCAAGCAGATGAGATCTGCTTTGTCAAGGATGCTTTGGTGTTTCCATGTGAAGGGCGCACGACACTTGAGGTTTGTTCCTTATTGTAGCCTATTTCTATTATGCTTATATGGATGTGTATGATGAAGGGCTGGGTGTTTCTTCTTAGATCAGTTGCATTTTTCTTTTGTCAACAAGAATAAAGCTTTTCGTTAAGATGTTAGAAGGTTGCAAAGTTTCATATGAAATTCACAAAAACTCACATCAAGCCTCATAAACCTCCCAAAGTACAAGTTTTGTAGCCACCCACAGTTCCTTAATTACAGAAGAGCTCCTCTTAAGACCCTATGAATCAATTAGAACCTTAGTTAGAACCTTAGTGTGGTTTTACAGTGACTGGGAGGAGAACGAAACATTCTTTATAAGGGTGTGGAAACCTCTCCCTAGCAAATGCATTTTAAAAACCTTGAGGGGAAGCTTGAAAGGGAAAACCCAAAGATATTTGCTAGCGGTGGGTTTGGACCGTAATGGGAGGTGGATTGAGAGTCCCACATTGATTGGAAAAGGAAACGAGTGCCAACCAGGACGCTGGGCCCTGAATGGGGTCCCATATCAGTAAGTTGTCTCCAACAATAACGGAAATAAAAAAAGAAGTTAAAACACATTATCAAGAACACATCCACACAATCCACCCACTCCTTAGTAGCACCCCTCAAAATCTTAGTATTTGTTTCCAACCATAAATTGCATACGATTGCTTTTATGACATTTCTACACAATTTCTTTGCCCTTTCTTCAAGAAGAGGAGTTTTAACATTTTCTTTCACATAATGGTTACATTTTTCACTTTGTTGATACTGTTATATCTTTTCACTTGTTCTTTAAACTATACATCACATTTTTACCTTCTATTTTGCACAAACATTTTTACTGTAGTGATTTGGTAATTTCACCAGGTACTGGAAGTTCAATTACCTGGAAAAAAGGTTGTGAGTGCAGGCGCCTTCTGGAATGGTATGCAAGGGAAAAGGTTGAAGAAATTCGATGAAACTAAACATTTTTCGCACGTGTCCGTGTGATATTTAGAAGCAATCTAGCTGAAAAAAAGTTGACGATCGCACGTGTTGTGATATTATTTAAATGTAGTCTAGGCGAAGAAATTTGTTGAATGCCAAAGCATAATCAATTCTATCAACCGATCCATATCGAAATTTTAAGAATCCATTAGAAATTAAGTTCAAATTTTAAATACTAAATAAAAACTAAATTTAAATCCCAAAAATAAAAAGATTAGTCCTAAAAAAATTAAGAAGTTAACTTCTAAATTTTTTTTTATTTTTATTTTTATTTTTATTTTTGTTGGAGGAATTAAGTGGGTGTCAACTTTTAATCATGGTATTAGAATATATACCAGAAATTAGATAAGATATATCAGAATTTTTAGGTATAAAAAGAAGCCATAACTTGGAATTTTTAGGTATAAAAGAAGCCATAACTTTAAACCTACCTTTATCAAAGTGGTAATACAAATAGAAAAAGAAACTCTTACACACTAGATTGTCTACCCTACTTCTACTTCCGACAACTACTAGACTGCCTCGTTAAATTTATACTCGTCTTCCCTATTTCTACCTACGGACAACTATTACACCAGTTTACTCAATCTATATTCGTTTTGCCCATTTCTACCTACGGACAATTACTAGACCGCTTCACTCAACCTATGCTCGTCGTGCCTATTTTTACCTACTGCTAATTACTAGACCGCCTCACTCAATCTATGCTCGTCTTCCCTATTACTACCTATAGACAACTACTAGACTGCTTTACTCAATCTATGCCCGTTTTCCCTGTTTCACAATTATTTAAAGCAAAAATAATAATAATAATAATAATAATCTCATTAAACAAACATATAATAATTTAAAAACAAATTAGGGAAAATATTACTTTTTTTTTTTTTTTACTTATAATTAAATTAAATTAAGCTTATTTAAAAGGATGGCACCTCTCTTATACATGAGCCAAGCCTCTCAAGTCTCTTTGGTTTTGCTTTGGAAAGGGAAAAAAAAAATGGGAGCTCTTGATTATCTCTCCAACTTTTGCATTCTCACACCAACAAGAACCAAGCACAAACCAATGCAGGTAGTGATTTTTGGGTCTCTTTAATTTCAATTTGTTCGTGTTTTTCGTTTATATTATATGCGTTTTTAGACGGTCGAGATCAAAGTGAAGCTGGACTGTGACGGATGTGAAAGAAGAGTTCGAAACGCTGTCTCTTCTATGAAAGGTCTTGTTCTCTCTCTCGTTCGTCGTTTTATCAAATAATGACGTTTCTCGAATTTTACATATAAGCTACTGTTATATTATCATTTATCAAGTTTGAAAACCCGACACAAGTGTTTATCGACGTATAGGCGTGAAGTCGGTGGAGGTGATGAGAAAGCAACACAGGGTGAGGGTTAGTGGGTATGTTGATGCCCAAAAAGTGCTTAAGAGAGTAAAAAGCACTGGAAAAAGAGCTGAATTTTGGCCTTATATTCCTCAACATCTTGTTCATTACCCTTACGCCTTAGGTGCTTATGACAAGAGAGCTCCTTCTGGCTTTGTTAGGAATGTTGTGCAAGCTTTTCCATCTGCCCATGAACAAAACTATGCCTCTATTTTTAGTGATGACAATGTTCATGCTTGTTCTATCATGTAGCTCTTTTTGTTGAACGTGTTCGATCGGACATGATGGGTTTGAACGTATGAAGCGTTGAATTTGTTCGAGTTCGTCAATTGAGTTGTGGCATGTTGTCGTTGCTATGGTTGGTGATGTAACTCTTTTTTTTCTCTCGTGTTGGTACACTATAGAAATAATGGATACGATAGCTTATGAAAAACGCTATTATAGAATTTTTATAGCGTTTTTTTATAACTATGATGGATGTTAGACTACGTATTCTGTTTAGAGATCGATCCAAGTACAAGTTACGATCCAAAGTTCGGTGAATATTTGAACATTATGCTTTAAAAAGCTTGAATTTGTGATATTATATATATGTTGTTATTTTATATTTTTAAATACTCGTCACTAAAGACATTTCTAGAGAACCCACAATAACGATAGTTCAATAACAAGCAACTAAAAAATATCGTTTGACACGAAGCTGTTCGAGCGTCGACCCCTCCGATGTTTCTCATCCCGTTACATAATTTTAGTTTAAAAAGAGTTTTTCTTATCGAGAAGACAAATTACCTATCTAGCCCCTAACTAAATTGATAGTCTTGAATATCCACAACATCATGAGCCATGGATATCATCGGGCCACTTGCTTTCTGTGTGACCGGACCATGTCGAAAACCACTCGACATGCCGTTTTCTTGAGCAAGATAACATTCTAATAGCGTCGAGTTATTGAATTCGCTATCAAATATTGGAAGCATATACTCATTTTGGAAGGTATAAGAGGGATCTATTGCATCTTCCAAGTAATTGCCTTTGTTTTTTCTTAGGGTTTGTTCTTCATCATCTTCATCTTGCTTGGAAGTTGATGCCCAAAGTTGAGCTTGCTTCCCTAATTTGGCAAGCTTCCTTATCAAAATGCTTGAATCCACATTGCCTATGATTGTCACCTTTTGTTCTTCAGCATCTATATCTACCTTATATACTCCTAAATTTCATAACCCGACAATCGATGTACGTTAACCCGAACACTTACAAGTATACAAAATATCTCGGTTTTTGAAACGCAAGGGGCAAAATGGTCATTTCATTTCACGAAAAATAAAAACAATAAAAAAGGTAGCCATTATTGTTTACCTTCAATCCTTTTGAGAAGTTTTCTTACTCTCTCCATGCACCCTTGGCAATTCATGTGTACTTTAAGAACATGTATCTGTTAAAACAAAATCGATAACGAAAAAGTCAATGAAATAATTCGAACATTATCGATCGAGTAATCTGTGAAGAGAATCGACCGCAACATTAGCCTCTCGTTCAAAATATTAACCGAAGTAGAATATAACGATTTTAGCATTATCGACAAAGTCAAGTTAATACATATATGATTAACGAAAAACGTCGAGAGGTTCAAATCTCCCGATCCCAGATGATATTTAACCGGAAAAAAAGTTCGAGGATGGTGATAAGAAGGAAAAAAAACCTCGATCTTCGAGAAACGGAATTGGTTCTTTGACATTTTCTTGCTCTCTAAGCTTGTGAGCTGCAAAGAAATGGGAGCTTTTGGTGAAGAAGAAGGGGAAGAATGAGGTTAAGAGAGTCAAAGAGAGGAATATGGTCAATATCATTTAAAGGGTGTGTGAGAATATGACCTTTTTTGAGTGATTCCTTCAGTTTTTTTACACCAATTTCTCATGAGTTCTTTTGGCAGTCGTATCCGGTTGGTTAACCATCCATTGGTTGAAATTTCCTTATCTCGAGTTCGTCTCGTTTTTCATAGTATTTCTTAACGAAGAATCGTGGTCGATCGAGAATCGTCGAATGTGGGGTATTGAGCGATCGAACATTCTTCTTTAAAGTTCATTTTAGATTACGTGAAGTAGGGTGTAATTTGATCGGTTGTGTTGTACTTAGAGCACGTTTATGAGTGATTTTGAAATGATTAAGATCATTTTTGTATATTTAAATTATTTTAAGTTCGTTGAAATAACAATTTGAGCAACCTGAATAGAGTTCACAACCCAACCTCTTATTTTTGAGTTGGGTTACCGGTTTTCTTAATTATTTAAAACAATTATATTTATCCACGATTCATGTTAGATATGAGTAATATTTGTAATTACTTGAGTTGGGTGACAGGTTGTCTTAAATATTTACAATTAGTAATATTTTTCTTTGATTAATAGTATATTTTATTTTATTTTCAAGATTTAATGTGTGTATCCTATTTAAACATTGTGAATATTAATAAAATTGAACCTTCGTCCCAATTCTATTTTTCATTAACTCTGTATTGTTTAAGTAATAATATTTTCAGATCTATTCACATTTTAGGGGTAGATATGGTGTCAAAACTCCAATTTTAATTTTGACAAAACTCAACCCAATAAAAAAAAAAAAAAAAAACACGATCCTACTTTGATGGTTTGAGTTTGTTATGTTGGTAACACGAGCATTTGAATAGAGTTCACGGTCTAATCCAACCCAACACAAATCTCTATTTTTCAAGTTGGGTTTAGGGTTCTAATGTCGAGTTTTTGTTTTTTAATTACTTAGAAAAATACATACTCACAGTTTAATCAAACCCAACACAAATCTCTATTTTTGAGGTTGGGTTGGATTTCGAGTTTTTGTTTTTTAATTACTTAGAAAAATATATACTTTATCTATACACAATAGATTAATAATTAAAATTTCACAAATTTAAAAGATAACAACTCAGTTACAAATTTAAAATATTTTTAATTTTTATAATAATTTTAAAAGCAGCAGGTAAGAATTGAATTGGAAGGTTGACCGAATTTAGTAATATATTCAAATTATACATATAATTAATAATATTTAATATGGTAGTGGAATATTATTTTAAAAGCATTTCCTAGAAGAAAACAAAAACAATGGTAGAATCTCTGTTCTTAACGCTTACATTCACTTCATCTTTGTCCGTTCAAAAAAAAAAAAAAAAAAAAAAAAAAAAAAAAAAAAAAAAAAAAAAAAAAAAAAAAAAAAAAAAAAAAAAAAAAAAAAAAAAAAAAAAAAAAAAAAAAAAAAAAAAAAAAAAAAAAAAAAAAAAAAAAAAAAAAAAAAAAAAAAAAAGAAAATCCACCTCATCTTTTTGATTGACACGTAAGCGTTAGGAACGGAATTGACACGTCAGCTTGGGACGAGACGAGCCGTAGATTACATTCAAAATAAATAAATAAATAAATAAAATAAAAAAAAGCGCCCATATGTTAATACTATAAAAGCGTTTAAACCGAGAAATCAGTCGGTTTCAAGACAAATTGCGGTCCCATTGGTATTCATGACCTAAACGTGGAGCTTTAGAAAATCCTTCCTTGCTGCATGCGTTCGACCTTCCAGAGCTCGTCAATCCGACATTGATTCTCTCTGACTTTGATCCTCCATGCATGCGAAGCTTACTATCTTAGCGGTGTGAAATCCGTCCACATTTCCGCTTGAAAAGCTCCCACGACTGTTCGCTGGAGTTCGGCTGTAAGTATTCTCTGTTCTTCATTCATTGCCGATCA